TTCAGAAGAAGGCATACTGCGATTGATCAAGTAATATTACGTTGTATAGAGATTACCATCCTTTTTTAGCAAAACGGAAAATTCCAAAAAATTGAAAATCGAGCGTACTAGGTAAACTTAAGTCTTAACTGTAGAGGAAGTCAGTTCATACGAATAAAGCAGCGTAAGGAGCACTTCGATGGAAAATAATCATTTTGCAAAATTTTCGGATACATATACTTCAATACTACGTGCAATGTAATGTATAACTGTTACTGAAGAGCCCCAAGTTTGCGTATGTATTCCAACATGGTTTCACGAGAAGTGCTCGTTGCTTCTTCCGTTTATACATTGCTCGAGTTATGTTGGACTAAGAAAACCAGATTTGCGCTTTATTGCACCGATTTGGAAGTCACAGGAGTAAGATATTTCGTAAGCTACTGTGCAGACATGCCGGTCGGAGACTAACATACGAAAATGGAATTGACAGATGCAATCTTAAACGTACCATTTTTGTACACTAAGAGGAATTTCCTTCCGCCACCTTTCTTTGTAATTATTTTAGGATTTCGATTACGATGAAGTTCAGATGGTTCTTGAAATGGTGACTAGCCCTTTACGATTTTCACCGGCTTCCGTCCATTAGCCATAAATTAAAATTATATCCTATATACTTCCTGAAACCGTCAAAATAAGCTATGCTTTAAAATCATATGCCTGAATAACGCGTTTGTAAACATTCCTGCTTATACAGCTGTCTATTTAGGTCATGGTTTTATAAGCACCCAAACTCTTTACTACCATTTTCCTACTACTTAAATCAATTGAGTAGATATTAAAGTGCATTACATACTAGACGGCGGAGCTAAGACCACGCAGGTGGCATAAGAATTTACTTTAAAAGCATATCGGTCCACACCTTTCAGTTGACCATGTCCCCCCTGGAACCGATGATCCTACTGAACCGCCCGAAACCTTAAATGATCCCGCTGACTACGCCAGAATTCTCGAAGAGTACAAACCTCTGGCCTGGTCGACGTTGCCAGATAATCCCTTCTACGACACGGCAGACGTATTTTTCGATCTCCAGAATGAAGTTGAGCCCGGTAGGAGTCAAAATATGAAACGAGTCAATGTGACTTGTCGGGAACGCTTCGCTTACCAAATTGATTACTTCGATGCCTACTTAAAGGTAAGATGGCACATTAATCCTGGCCTGAAAAGTGTGCGGTAATTTGTTTCAAATCTTGAGCTTCGTCCGTAGAAAATAACTTTTTTGCAGTCAGCTTCTACAATAAAATTACTCACATACTGTATTCATAAACTTCCTACTTACTTCTAATATAATCAACTCCACATTTATAGTCCAACATTTTGACAGGTAGCAACGTATCAGTTTATCTTAGGGTCATATCTTACAGGGAGCGGAGTGATTATTTCTGTCTTATTTGCTGTCCCAAACCCAAAGATTGCTCCAGTGAAAATGGGTCGGAGTTTTTTGGTTTGCGATTATAAATAAGCTAACATGATCATTCATCGAGGAGATGCAGTTAAGTGTTAATGCTAGGTTTGCGGTAAGAGTTAAATTTATGGTGTTTCTCATTTTCGATCAGGGCCCGTGTTAGTGTTAGCTTCATAACATGGAGAAAAGTAGGTCTCCTGACATTTGAAGCAAGTCCATCTGTTTTATCGTAATTTACCATATCGGAGCACTCGTTGTTTTCAGCCCCCCTTTGCAACTATCTAATATCAACCTCGAATCCTCAGCCTCGTCTGTTCAAAAGAACTTCATTGCAATCGAACTATTCACTTACTGTATTCATAAACCTCATACTTAATTCTAGTACAGTCAGCTTCACATTTCTATCTACTCCAACATTTTGGAAGTCAGCAAAGTATCAGTTCATCTTAGGGCCATATCGTACAGGGGAAAGAATGATTATTTCTGTCTTATTTGCTGTCTCAAAACCAAGGATAGGTTCAGTGACCATGGGTTGAGGTTTTATTTGGTTGAATATTGAAAATAAGCTAAAAAGCTCATTCATCGGGGTGATTAAGTTTAATGTTAAGGCCAATTTTTAAGTTACAGTTAAATTTAGGGTGTTTTGCATTTTGGATCAGAATCCGTGTTAGTCTTAGCGTCAGAACATGGAGAGAAGTACACCTTCTGACATTTAAAGCAAGTCCATCGTGTTTTACCATATCGGAAGATTCGTAGTATTCAGTTCCCCTTTGCAACTATCAAACATATAAACTTAAATAACAGTTGATACGTTGAGGACTTGAAGTGACAGCTAATTTGAGTTCAAACCTACCGCTATTGTAAATTGAGGTAGAAGGAAGTCAGTTTAAGTCAGAAACTCAAATTCTCTCTGTTCCATTCGGATTTAGAGGCAATTTCGGGCATTTACTTTCAATGACTTGAGTTGAGAACCACCTCCTCTACCGTTTTATCCTTGCTCCATTGATAGCGCTTGATCCCCTGTTTCTAGCTCGCGAACCTTCCTCAGCAAAAGGGGTGCCTCAATGACTTGACAAAATGTCCTGAGGGTCTCTCTCTGGGTGCATGGATCTCCCTGCCTAGTAATCTAACAGCTCAGACTATACCCCTGAGCATTTTTGAGATTGCCGGTGAGCTCAAGGTCGCCTTTTACGGAGAATTTCTGCACGTTTTTGGTAAGCATTCTAAAATGCTCTCATTTCGTAAAATGTGTCCCAGATATCTATGTACTTTTAATAAATAGGTTAAGAGACAATTTTCGACGAGTTTGCGCATGTGTAGATCAAAAACCGCTTGCTTAGACAGGAAATCTGCTCTCCTCATTATTTCGCTATAGCGTTTGTGCATAAAACGCTGCTTAAGGAATCCCGATTGGGCAGTGCGCTTACTGTATCAGTATTGTTATGCAAATATTTCCATGCTTAAGTTGAGAAGTCAATTTTGGCAAACATATATTTTCAGCAAATCATTCAGCCAAAACATTTGCAGGGTAATGAAAACTGTACAGTTGGACAGGGTTAAATA